TTTACATGTTTATCCTAATCAAAGACTGAGTTTATCTTGGACTTGGGGTGAAGTCGACCCATGAACTGAACACTGAAATTATTTTGTTAACTCATTTGCTGCTACCCTGGTGGGCTGTGAGAATAAGATTATGTGTATGGATGGATGGATGGATGGATGATAGTAATTTTAAAGCTCGGTACTGAATTTGCTGAATAACATTAAGGCATGCAGTGTAGTTTATAGTTTGTCATTTAAAAGCATGTCCCCGACTGTGGGTTGTACTCCTGGCTGGTGAAGTACCATGTGGATATGATCGACTGATCTTTTTATATTTACTTCTGATGACTTTGGTTGTAGCCTTGTGGAAGAAATACAAGGACAAAGTCATTCATTCCTGTTCTGTTTCAATACTTCACACTTGTTTGAAATGCTGGGTGTACTGGCGTTCAGCATGCACAATCCTTACTGTTTCTTTTAGGTTTTATTTTGTCTAGGGTTTGCTTTGATACAGCAGATCATCTACTTTTCCTATAGTTTATGTCTCTTGAGGGCAAAGTATATTTTCCAACAGGTTTAAATAGTTTAAGAAGATAAACCCTCCAGACCTCCAAAGAGATTCGCATCACTCACTGATCGTGGTATTTTTTGAAAACCACATTCAGAAGGTGCTGAGTGCAAGCAATTGTGCCATGGAGAGGAAGTTTCATGGTCATCTTGCTACCCTTGGAAGGTAGCAAGATAAAGGCAGCAAGATCTTAACTACTGAATACACCAATATGTGAGCGGAATAATAATTTTCATTTGAAGTCCTTACCTCTTTCTCTAACTTCCAAATGGTGAAATCCAGTGACTGTGAGCAACCCCTCTCTTGTATGCCAGCCAAGAAGTTATTGTTTTCTGCCCTTTTCTTCTGAATTGTCCTGAACTGTATCTGCAGCAGCCCCTTGGCAACACATTGTTAAGAGGCAGAAGTGTGGCAGGGTGAGCTAGCTGAGTTGCACGTAGCTGAGCCACCAGGCTGAAAGCCAGCAGCTACACCAGCAGGAATTCATGGGACAGCTTGACAAGGAGTGTCCTTATCAGTTTATTTCAATAAAAGCAATGAAACACAAAATTGAAAGCCAGCTATCTGAGGACATGCTGTGGGTGTATGTAACTTGGAGTTACATACAAGTGTCTAGCACAAGTGACACACAGTTAAGAAGGTCAAAGGCAGTAGAGCAGCAAGAACGAGTTTGAGGGAGGGTTCCTGATTTCCAGTGGGGCAACTGGCAGGTGTTTCTTGTTTGTCAGTGCAATGACATTCTTTTTTTGTTTTAAAAGACGTATCGTAACTTCTGCCAAACTTTTGTGATCAAGTACAAGAATGTTTCTGTGGAACAGGAGATGCATCTTGAAGCATTAGCAAAGTTTATTCTGGAGCAGGATCATTCCCCTCAGCAAAGGGGGAATAGACCCTTTCCTCATTAATTTGACAGAAATCCTTCCACCCCCATCTTTATCATCCTTTCCTGTTGGTAATTTCAGTTGCATGAAGGCTTCTACTGGAGATGATCAAGCTACGTATTCTCCTAGGATAAACATCCTAGCTGCTGGGTTTCAGATCACATTCATACGGGCTGGAACTACACTGTTGCCAGACCAGCCAATGGGAAGGTTGGCCTTGATCCATATAAACATCTCAGACTAAGCAAGCCACACTAAATTTGGAAAAGAATTAAGGGAACTCATTTTTCAACTACCCTGGAGTATTTTATCTCCAGTTGCCCCATATTATTATTACATGGGAAGAGTTTCTGTTACTCATGACTGTTTCCATGATGTTCATATTCTGATAGCATATTTTTATCTTTTGTAAACCACAAGAGTTTAAAGATCCATCAACAAACAATGGATCAAGGGTTCATCCACTTCTCTTCCTGCGCATAGGTAGTGTTGCAATTCCTGCCAAGCCAAGCAGTATAAGACCAGGTCTTTATGTGTTACCACTCACAGTCTCTTAATAAAACCTTTTATTCTAATTTTAGAAGGTAGAATTTTTAATGCAGAGATCCTTTGCAACAAGTAGTGTAAAGACTAAACAGCCTAAAGCATTTGCTCCTTGATTCATGTTTTGATTGATTGTAAATATAGTCTGCACATAAAAAAAATACATTGATATAATATTTTTCATATATATATATGTATTACGAATTACATATTCCTTTCTACTTTAAGCTGATCTAAGAAATGCTGACACTGAAGAATCACACTTCTGAGCCGACATAGCCATAATTGAAAGACCTCGCCAAAATTACAGGTATTTCCTGCGATTGTTGGGTTTTTTTCCCAACACCATAATTTTGTTCTTTGTTCCACTTCCTCTACAAATTTTTACTGCAGGATGCAGGCAGTAGTCAAGTGAGGTCCAGTGTCCCAGAGCCCTCTATAATAGATTATGAGGCCACTGCAAACTGCAAAAGAAAAAGCCGTGGTGGAAAATAGAGGCAAACCCTGAGCAGGAAACTCCACCGTGCCTGGGGCCAACAACATCCTACTGCTGGCTGGGACCAGAAGGAAAAAAAATGTGCTCTAAAGAATGTTTTGGGAAGCTTTATCCTTATTTGGAGAATAAGCTTATGCCTCTGCCCAAGCAGGCTGATTTTTAAAAGGATGTCATATGGGCAGGGATTTTCTGCTTCAGCAGCATTGGTATCCTGCTATTATATGCAAGCATGTCCTATAATCAGTAAGCCTCAAAAAAACTGGTGTCTTAAAACTGAAGAGTTGGAGTGCAGATTGTCACCTGGTGCTGTCCCACAGGTAAATCTGTGAAAAACTTGCGTAAGTGAAAACTTAATGTGGCCTCCTGACATCCCTCCAGCTTTGTGTAGTGACTCTGCAAACGCAGCAGCTGGCTGAGCTGTCTCCTCTGTGTACCCAGTTTTGTGGCAGTTTTGTAACCTGGTGGTGATGCGTGGTTGGAATGGTGTAGGAGTGGGGCAAAAGGGGCCTTCAGTTCAGCTGAAGGCAGTGATCCTGTTGATGCTTAATCAGGAAAAGGCTCCAGCTCACGTCTCTGAGCCAGTTACACAGCAGTAGCTGGAATGAAAGTTCATGTCAGTGTTGTCCCTAAACTTGGGTGGTGTCAAATTCTGTGCATCAAACTGAAAATAAAATTGCAAAAGCAGAGGAGCCGATGTGTAGCTTTTTCCTTAGTGCGCACATCCACATAGCTACAGTGATGTAAATGTAATAATCAGGAAGTTAGAGAGTAATTAAATACTGTAGCTATCTGGATTGATGAAATTACCTCTAACAACCCAATAATGTCCCACATTAGGAGCAAATTCTGGCTGGACCTAAAATGAGCACATTAAAAACCTTTTAAGATCTCACATCTGTATGAACTCCTTAGCAAACTAATTATTTTTCCGTGGCAGTCTCAGCCACACATATTTGTATTTTTTAAATGGAAATAAGATAGCCAGATGTGGTAAATCTTGGACCATAGCATCTTGTACACCAGAGCATCCCACACACTTTCTCCTGCAAATTCCCAAGACACTCATTTTGTAATAATCCACAGCTTTTCTCTTTACTTCACCATATGTAAAATTATTTAAGATGAAAAAAAGCATGAACAATCTGGGAACTGTACTGCCATGTAAGCCAGGTGAAAAACAGCAACAGAATCAGTACTAATCCAGGAAGTTTTGCATAGTTACTTTAGAAGGACTATGCTTATATGCTTGAAACAGCAAACCTGTCTAAACCTCTCTCTGATTACATCATAGCTGCTGCAGGCTCACAGCCTGTTGTATAAAGTACAGAAACATCATGAAAACTCCCAGTGGGTCCCTTTTGGTGGCAGCGCTGGTGGGTGGCTGGAAGGAGTTTGTCAGTCCAGCAGTATCATTATATGATGCAAGTGGTTCAGCTTTTTCAGGACTCTGGGGGTCGTGGTGATTCTTGCTGGTTCCTCTGTTTGGCCCTTCAGGAGTGCTGAATGCCAGTCCTGGTTTAGGAGTCCATACCTTTAAAAGCTTCAAGAATTCTCAATTTGTGCATTACCATTTTTTGGTCTTATAGATAAAATTTGATATTATTTCTCCAATGCAGAACAAAGTAAAATTTTGAAAGCATCAAAATTCCTTGAGTTGTGAAATTCCATTTCTCTTTTGTATGCTCAAAAACCACAACCCTTTGTCATGGCACTCCTTAATACACAGAAGAAAGAGATCTCTCCAGTATTCAGGATGGTTGGGATGCTATGTATATCATAGTCCAGGTTTTAGTTTTCACATTGCCAGAGACTCTCTGAGTCATGTATGTGCACATGGCTGTAACTTTCAGCTTCACTTCCCTGTTTGTAAAGCATTGTTATTTCTTTGATAGAGTTAATGAGTCAATTACTTGTAAATTGCTTCAAGATTCTCAGAAATGAGACTGTCAGTGTGTTTATTGCTCTTATTACTGCTGATGAGATCTTGATCATAACAAGACAATACAAGATTAGTGTTTATTGCAGCATGACTATCTGTTTACATTAAAACAAAGAAGAGACTTTCGTGCCCAAGCCTAGAACACATCCTTTGTAGGAGCTTTGAGTCAGCTTTAAAATATCACTATGTGAATAAATTGGTTAATACAGCTAAATACTAGCCAGTATCACTTATCTGTATGTTTCTTTGAAAACCTTACCAGCTCTTGAACACCTATGGCTCTGTGGCAGTATGTCCCAGGAAGAGGCAGATAGTGTCTTTTCTGAGAGAAATGGATTTGGGATATATTTTGACCACTCTTAGAAGGAAGAACAACATCCAAATCCCAACATTTTCTTGGACAAATTCCCTGTGTGCTTGGTTATCACAACAGCTGAAAGTATTTTTGAGGGTTTCGTGATCTGTGCAGCAAGTGACCTTATGCTTCAACAGTATTTTGAGTTGCTGGTGATAACTGCCTTGGTTCTGCATTGCACTTTCTGCACCCGTGTATATTAAATACAATTGAATCTCTTTTCTTTTTTTTTGCTCCAGGAAAAACAGAGGCTCTCATCAAAAACTTCAGCCCGCACTACAGACGCCAGTATGCGGTGGCTTTCTGCAAGCATGTGCAGGATGAGCTGGAGCAGCACCGGGATTCCCAGTCCCAGTTCCTGAAAAACAAGGTAGGAGGGCATATAAGCTACTCCCCATCCTTAAGATGCCATTCAGCTCTGCTCTCCTGTCTGAGTTAATTAACACATTAACTATTTAAATAACACATTCAGTAGTTGCAGTGTGTGAAAACCTGAGCTGGAAGTGTATCAGATGCTGACTGAGATTGATTTTCTTTTTCCCAGTGTTTAATACTATCAAGTGAAGTTCAGATACTCAGAGCTTCTAAAAATCAAAATCCAAAGTATTTTTCAAGTTATTTAAATGCTCTTTATGTAAGTATATACATATACAGATACATTTTATATGTATACAAGCATTTCCAATATAGGAAGTGTTCTTTCAGCTTCTTACATTGGATAGTTGCATACATAATAAATGTGCATCTGGGACATTTTATATGTGTACTGTCTTTTATATAACCCAAGTGTACACAAAAGGTTTGTAAGTGCAGATATTGGATTTGGTTCAGTTACATTTTAGGTGGAAAAGTTGCATTTGGGTACAGGTTTAAAATTTATTTTGGAGAGTTAATCTTTGTTTTGGTCTTGTTTGAATGTAGCATGAGAACAATCATGACACAAGTTTTTGGTACAAAGCATGCATTTCATCAAGGTAGAGTTGGACACTTGGACAAAACTAGCTGCTTCCTGCTAATTGCAATACTTTGCAAGAATCTTGGGTCAGAGATCATACATTCAGGACTTAATTATCCTTGGCTACAGGGTTCCATAAAGGAGATGGCAATAATCCCCTCTGTGAACTATAGAAAGATGTTTTTTAGTAGGGCAGGAGGGACAAAAAGAGAAACAAAACTTTCTTATTAGATGAAAATGCAGAGAAACAGTGTTCAATCTTAAGAAACAAATCTAAATATTTTGGCTTTGTTGGAAATCCAATGCTCTTGAAATGAATAGGGTAAATCAATGAGGTGGAATGTAAAGGTAGGATAATAGAAGAGACCTGTCTTTCAGAAAGATGCATATCAGTTACAAGAGCACAGGTGCAAAAGAAATGGGAAATAATTTACTATTTTGTAATAAAACTCTGCTGCATTGATGAAACAGTTTTGGTACATAGTAGAAAATGGGAAATAATGAACTACAGTCATCTTGCATTCAACATGCCAACTGAAAGGTAAATAAGAATGCTGTGTCTCAGAAAGCTGGAATTATTTTTGGAAGGCAGAGCTCTTCTGCTGCCTCCTCACCTCAGGCTACAGGAATTTGGTTGTGTACGTAGTATCTGTCTGAATCAGAGAGATGTTTAATAACTTTAAATTGCCTTTGAAGACTCAAAAGCCCTCGTAGCAGCGTTATGGGAATGTAGAAATAAAAGCTTCATAATGAAATTCAGAGTAATCCAGAGTAATTTTGAAACTCTAAAATCATCTTTGTAGCCCCCGATGGAAGCTGGGGTGGTCTTATATGAAGCAGAACTGCTGCATTTTGCCGAGGATCTGAAGAAGTGGAAGGACAGATATGTTGTTATCAAAAATGATTACACAGTAGATTGCTTTGAGACTAAAGAGGTAAATGCTTTTTCCTTTTATGCTTCCAAATAAACTGGTATCAAGTGAATTTGTTCTACCTTTCTCTTAGCAATACTAGATGAAATGTTGTCCTCAGCGAGGTGGCTCCAGCCTTGCGGTCCAGAGGGATGGCTGGGTACAACCAGGTGTCTTCCATTGGCCATGTAGGTTTGCAAGAACTAGCAAATAATTTTAATGCTTTGAACCTTCCTTTGCCTATCACAGAATACTTCTTATCTGTATGTCAGGGTAATATGTTCCCGTGTTTCTGCAGTTGGATTTTCAGTAGCAGTTTTTGGGTGGCTTCAAGTTGACTGCAGTGAAACTTTTGATTTGGCAGCTGCTGTAGTCAAACAGTCCTGGATGACAAATCAATCAAATAGAATTTAGAAGCAAATCCCATGCTTTCCTGTCCGTTCTGTCGCTGACTCTTCATCACAGCTGATAAACACCAAGAGGATATTTTCAAATATGCTTTTTATGTTTAACCATGGTTTAGATTTGATGTGCCTAGGGTATATATACAAAATTCAGTCTGACAAAAATTTCCCTTTGGGGAATATCCCCATGCATTAGCTTTGTCAATGAGTTGTGGGGTTTATGTTTTCCCTGTCTTTATATCTCTTATTTGACTCCCTCTTTCTTGATTTTCCAGGCCTACCAGAAAGGAGCCAGCCCTAAATATCATGTTATTCCTGCAGGAGGCAAAGTACTGACTTCAGAAGAAGATTACAATTCGCTATCTGACAAACATTTTCCAGATCCTGTTGGTAAGCCCTGCTCAAAGCTGAACTGCCAAACCCCAGGCTCCATTCCTTATGCAGACCTCTTCTCATCAGACTTTCAGGATAGACTTTAAAATGAGGCAACAGGAGATGGGCACAGCCCTTTTTCTAAGTCAAAGCACAGCTCCAGAGTGGATGTACACAGAACGTGCTATAAGCTAACGTTCAGAGAAATGCTGGCTCCCTTTTCTTTCCAACATCCCAGCACAAAGCTGTGCTGAAACACAGCAGGAACCACACCACCACACCACCATTGTTCCCGGGCTTTGTTAATATTCCTGGCTTATTTGTTTCCATTTTTAGATGCCAGCTGCCTGTGTTGACTTACAGTTGATAATAAGTCCCACAGAGAGGGCAGGAAGGTTGCTGCTGCTGAATTTGTTGTTTCTGGGACTGCAACTGCTGTGATCCTGCCTGTCCCCACTCCACAAAGATGGAGAAGATTCAGGCTTTAAGGGAGCAGATCTCATGTTTCAGAGTCAGATTTGGAAAATTGGATGGGATGCCACGTAAGGAAAGGGAGAAGGGCAACGTGTAGAGAAAGATTTTTTTTTTCTAAGGCCTGTTTCATACCACTTAAAGTTATGACTGTTGAGAGGTGACCCTTTAAACCACTTTCCCAAGGGTGGTCAGAGGGTAGCATGAGGCAGCAGTGGCTGGAGGGGTCCTCTGTGTGTGCCACAGCTCTGCAGTAGTTGAGCAATCTGGAACAGCCCAAGGCTTCTTGTGGGCTTCCTGTGGTCTCCCTTCACAAAGAGTGACTGTGTCCTTTATGGGTCTTCTCCCTTTCCGTGTGATATGAAGACCCCCTGAGATAAACTCCTTGTGGCTGGGGTCTCAATGCATGGCATTGACACAAGACTGGGTTTGGTCATACATAAACTGCATTGCATAACATCCCCTGTTCACAGTGACTCAGGGCAGGTGGAAACAAGATACTTAATGCTTTCTTTGCTTTACCTTCAATGGCTCAAAGTGACAGTTCAAAAGGCCATTTTGCTGTTGTATTTGGAGACCCTGGAGACAGGGAAACTGCTGCTGCTCCTACATGGTTTAATGCAGTTCTTTTCTTTATGGAAGATCATGTGCTCCTATGTGGTCTCTACGTGGCCTGCTCACTGACATTTGCCTTGAAAACCTTTTTCCTAGCAGCTACAAGCCAATGAAATAGTCTCTTTGAAATGTCACAAAAACTGTGTAGTTTATGGCCACCTTGAATACAAAACAGAAGGACATGAAGTTGTACGGTATAACCTAGAGAGGTGGTTGGTGCCTGCTGAGTTTATCTGACCCAGATGTGTCCCCGTGACCTCTGTGCCAAATCACTTGGATCAAGAAGGAGATTTTTTCACGTCTCATGCATCCCTGTTCTCTCTGTTGTAGCAAAGAAGGAAACCCTCCAAGAAATGTGCAGATTTCACATGGAGATGTCTTTTTTCTGTGTAGGTTCAAGTGAGAAGGAGGTTGCTCAAGCCTTTGTTCAGCTGCCAAGGGAGTTCCCAGTTTACCTGTGGCAGCCCTTTGCCCGGCACAGCTACTATTGCTTCTCAGAGCCAGAAGCTCAGAGGCAGTTCAGTGCCGTGCTGGCAGACTGCGTGAGACACTCAAACCATGGTAAGTGGAGAAAGGCCTCTTCCTGTACGTCATTCACCCCAGTGAAGATTTAAAAAGCTGAAAAAGAATGCAAGTCACTTACAAAAGATGCATGACTTTCAGTACCTCAAGGAATGCAGTAGCATACCCCTTCTTGCTTTGCTGGGAGCAAAGTCAGGTGGGATTTGAGCTGCAGTGTAGTAAGCTTAGGTAGAAAACATGGGAATTGCTTTGAAAGTGGCATTCCCCTCTCTGACAGCTCATCTAAACCTAGTATCATGATACAAAATCATAGGAGATGTTTACAAAATATGTCATGTCAAACTCTCACCTGTGTTTGCAAGCTTGACAAATGCATCATATATATGTTAGACCAGGTTTGTAAAATGTGAAGGGAATGTAGTCTCCTGCACATGTCTAATGTTACATCACAAATGGTCAAACATTTAATATTTTCTGTTGGTGTTTAGATAGCACCTAAGCCCCAGCCAGGGTTAAGCCCTGTAGCTGGGTCATGAATAGTGTGTAAGACATGGTATTGATTGTACACATGAGGATAAATTTTAAACCTCACTTTCTAAGTATGTTAGACTAGAAAACATAAAAGCTTCCAGCAAGTTGTGACTTGTTAGGATTATGAAAATGACCTTGATCCCATGAATTTGGAACACCATTTATGAGTTGTATCCTTCAGACAAATAAATGCTTTCCTGTTTTTCACATGACTTTTCTCATTTTCCATCAAGCTGACCTGGTTCCTCTGCTGGTGTCCAGGCTCTTCCATGCCTTTAGTGTCACTTTCAAGTCCCATCTGCTGCTGCTGCTTTTTGTGGGAGATGGGAATACTCAGGAACTTCTCCAGCAATCTCAGCCACTTGGGCCTGAAGCCCATGCTTGCAGATAAATGAGACTGCAGTGTGTGAACAGTCCCTTTTACTTACAGAAGTGGCTCCCAGTGTTTTTTTTTAGCTGTCACTTTTGTCTTCTGGACATCAGCTTCACTCTATTACCCTCAGACAGTTGACTCACACTGTCCTCTCTGAGTCCGTTCTCAACTTCCTTTGCTATTCATTTGCCTCCACTGCCAAAGGCATTCCTGGTCTCGTTTAGGACTCCATTCCCATAATGAAAACACACATTATGGTATATTGCTGTGCAGGTGAGGAGAGGCTAAAGGCTAGAACACCCAGTAGGCAAACACCCAGTCACAGGGACTATAAAGACTGTTTCGCGGCTAGATTAGCATGGGTTGGAGGCAGAACACACCTTCACTTGGCACTTCCAAATATCTTGAGTCTCAATAAATATTCTCTACGCAGCTGCCAGAGTAACCCAAATTCCCATAGCACATCGGCCTCTATGATTTTCAGTTCTGATTAACTTGGTTTCAGCTGAGGTGGTCATACAGTATTAAAGTGTTCTGGAGCCATGCCTTTGCTCCTTACTGAGGTTTGGTAAGGAGGGGGGGATACAATCAAGTTTTCCTGGCACTGTTAATCCTCCATGACTTGAAGCCTGTTCATTAGGTTTGGGTTTTTCATTTCTCTCTTCTGGAGCAAGTGTAACAAGCTTGACAAAACTTTTGGCAGCCTTATTTTTTCTTAAAGTTCAGTACATTACTCTAGGGGCCAATTCTGCATTGGAAGAAGCTGGGACTAGATGACTTAATAGGTCTTTTCCATTTCCAGTGCCTGTGAGTCTGTGTTTTATTATATTTCATATAGCTCAGCTATTGCTCATTTATACATCTGTTCCAGGATTTATCCCTCTTAGCCTTTTCTGTGGTCAAGTTTTTCTCTGACCAAAGATGCTTAGAGACACTGGAGTGCTTAATGACACTGAAGTGCTTTCATCAAGACTCATCCTTTCTGTCCCATTATTTCTGCTCAACAGACTGGTAAGCAAACACAGTCTGTATTAAGAACTAGGAAATGCAGCTAGGAAAATGGGAGACAATATTTTCTGGATTTGTTGGAGTTACACTATCTTCTAGAAACCTAGGTGCTGCAAGCAGAAAAATGATCACTCACAAGCACCCCAGTAACCTTAGCTTTGCCCTTAGAGTGAATTTCAAGCTTTTTTTCAAGGACTTTGTATTGATGTATATTCATTCTCATACATGATGTTGCTTTATTAATACTTTTAAAAGCCTTATTTGCAAACAATTCTGCCTATAAAAACAGGTACCCGAACAGTCTGACAAAGTTATAGGCATGTGCAGAAATACAGTGGGTAATAAGGCTCATGATAGAAAATTTGGCTGTGTTCTTTTATTAAATAAAATTGAAAAGAGAAAAAAAAATGTGAAAAAACCTTGGAGTTTGACTGTGGAATTTTATTTACAGGGATAAGGAGCACCATCCAAGGCAGCACTCACCCCACATCTTCTAAAAAGCACTGAGCTAACTTTTGCCAGGGTAAATTTGGCAAGGGCAGGAGAAATACAGATGTAATGTCTGATCAGAAGTTGCCTTTCTGTATTTTCTATAATCTACCACTTCTAGAAAGGAATGTATCACACTGGGCTTTAGCCAGAAGCTTGGAGTAGTTTTTGGTTAAAGTCTCTTTTCTCCCAGGAAGCAGAATTAAATAGGGTTACTTGCTGAACAGAAAATGGAAGTGAGTTGGCATGTGGTCTTACAATGCGAGCTGCCCTGGCATTCAGCTGTTTCCTCTCTTTAGAGTCACTCTGTTTTAAGAGGTCCAGTCTGTGTTTCTGGGTTTTCTGGTCAGAACTCACAGTCAGGAGAATAGTTACAAAAGCATTTGGATTTAGAGTCAACACTCCTAAATATGATTCAGATGCATGGATTGCAAGTTGTTCTCCCCCTCTGCTCCCTGCCCCCCCCCCCCATCCCCTGCCAATTTTCCTGTTGTGTTTATCTTTTATACTACCTGATAAGGGTTTGCAGTTTGAGGGGACAGTGATTTCCTTCATTATCAATGGAATATGTATTTTTTTTTGCACCCTTCTTTAATATAGTTCAAATAAAGTATATTTAAGGCCTTTAAAATCAGCTAAGCCAATCAAGACCTGATTGGTAATGGCTTTAAAAATATTCAAGCACAACCAGATGCATCCGCTGAGATTCTCTGAATTACCTTCACTCTCAAGGTTGCTTGATGGATTAATCTGTGTACAGAAATCATCCCAGTTCAGTGATTCATCTGGGCAACTCCCGCTTTGAGATTTGCAAGTTGGCTTTTGTGATGCCTCAGGATTTGGGGAAGGGATCAAATGCTTTTTGGGTTTTAAGCTTTGAGGTCATGTGATTCAGGGAAGGATAATTAAAGAAAACAAGTTCCCAGGAAGCATCAGAGGAACCCAGACAAACTGATAGAGGCAGAGGAGACCCTGACTTGGCTGCCCCAGTCCTCAGAGGAGGGAGCTCAGCTCATGAAACCCACCCAGGTGGGCCACCAGTGGTCTGGATCTGCTATCAGTAGGGACAGGTGCAGAAAGGTGTAATGAGATTTGGCAACTCTAACATAAGCCATGCTTGCATTTGAGTCCCTTTTCTGTCTGAGTTGAAGTAAAATATATTGCAAAATTGCTTTTCAGCATTCACTGTATGACGCTTCTCCTGTGAAAATTAGTGACTGTGTAACTTTTCTCCTAGGAAAAAAAAAGATTACTGTAAATTTGCATACTCAGTATAGAGGTGCTACTGTCTAATCTTGGCCATTATCTCAAAAGCTCTATCAAAAGGCTTCCTTCACTCCAAAGTGTCCATTCTTTACCAACAGCTTTGCAATGAAGGACTTCAGTGGGCTGCATTAAAGAACACTGCATGCAGCTTGAAATGCCACTGTTCATTTCTCCTTGAATTTATTACCTAAGCATAGGATATAAAATATTATAAGTCATATATGCTGATTTCAAAGCTTTGTTGCTTTAATCAATGAATATGATAAATGAAAGGGTGAATTAAAGTAGTTAAATGACATGAACATATATATAGAATGATAACACTGAGGGGAAGTCTCTAGATATATAACATGGGTCAAAAAATGCTCTTTGTAGAAAAACAACAGGCCAACAGATGCAGAGGAGTAAATAGTAAAATAAGGTGATGTAGAGTAATACAACCTAGTGGTAGCTCTTGATAAGCATAGAATTCTAGAACGGTTTGGGTGGGAGGGACCTTAAAGGTCATCCAGTTCCAACCCCCTGCCATGGGGCAGAGACACCTTCCTCTAGATCAGGTTGTTCAAAGCCCTGTCCAGTCTGGCCTGGAAGACGTTCAGGGATGGGGCACCCACAACTTCCCTGGGCAACCTGTTCCAATGTCTCAACACCCCCATAAGTGATGAATATCTTCCTAATATCTAGTCTAAATCTACTCTCTTTCACCTTAGAGCCATTCCTCCTTGTCCTATCAGTATGTGCCCTTGTAAAAAGTCCCTCTCCAGATTTCTTTTTAGCCCATTTACTGCTCTGAGGTCTTCCTGGAGCCTTCTCTTCTTAAGGGTGAACAACCCCAACTCTTCCAGCCTGTCTTCATAGGAGAGGTGCTCCAGCCCGCTTATTATATTCATGGCCCCTCTCCAGACTTGCTCAAGCAGATCCACATCCCTTTTGGGTTGAGGGCCCCAGAGCTGAACACAGTACTGTAGGTGGGGTATCAGGAGAGTAGAGTAGAGGGGGAGAATCCCCTCCCTCGACCTGCTGGTCAGCTCCTTTTGATACAGCCCAGCACGGGTTGCCTTGCTGGCTGCAGCCTGCAAGCACACACCGCCGGCTCATGTGGAGCTTCTCGGCAACCGACCCCCCCAAGTCCTGCTCCTCAGAGCTGCTCTCAATCCAGCCTCTGCCCAGTCTGTAGTTGTGCTTGGGATTTCTCCAGCCCAGGTGCAGGACCTTGCACTTGGCCTTGTATTTAATCCTTTATGTTTGTATGCCCTGAAAATCTGCATAAATATTCTGAACGCTTATTTAATTTTCCAGTATTTTAGGAGGTCTTCTCATTTCCTGTATGAGGTTACCAGCTAGTGTGTCACTTCATATTTGCTATTAAAAG